CTAAGGTTAAAGAGAAGATAAAGGGATTATTTGATGAATGGGAAAAATATATCAACTATGTGGATTCAGATTTCAGGAGGATTTGATTATTTTGGTTGACTGATTTCGTAGTAAGGGTCCTGACATTTGGGAAGAATTTTGTTCATTGTTTGGTAAAGGGTCCTGATGGTGAAAGCTCCTTTTTTACATAAGTATATGGTTCTAATAAGGATATTGAGAGGAAGAGTACTTATGAGGAGATTTATAGGTTCAAAGTGGTGGGGCTCGTGGATTATTTCGTGTCCACCATGAAAACGACACCGTCATCGTTTGTCAAAGTTACATGTTGCAAATTATCTTCTAGATCCACAACAACAACAACTACTAATGCTCTTGTTTCCATTGTAGTGTTTACTTGCTTTGGGTGCTCTTTTTTTTCACCCATAATTTCCTGTCGCCTTTCTTGCTCATTTAAGGCCATTTTCACTTGTATTTTGTCTGACACACTTAAAAGTTTGTACCTTTAGCAACATCTTGTACATTTTTATAGACCTTTTTCAAGGTCAAATTCTACTTCGTAACCAATCCAGATTCTTATTGTAATTTGAATGCAGTATAGCTCTCTAAGGATCTCCGTCGTCTTGCAATCACAACGATTGACGGAAAATCTAGGGTTCCACCGAAAGCCTAATTTCTCTCACGCTCCAGAGTTCTCGCCTATTGAGAGAAAATTAGGGTATTACAACTTACAAAACTTGTACAAACATTTGTGGCCTCTAAAATATGATCATCATTTTATTAACGAGCACTTCTACTACGCTATAAAGCATTGGTGCTTTAATGTACAACTTGAAGTTATACCATAACGTTAAATGTATAAGTTCGAGTTGTACCATAAAGGAATTGTACCTTGGTACAAGTTCAAGTTGTATCATGAAAGAATTTGTACAAAAGAGTATAAGTACAATATGTACCATAACGTAAAGATACAATTTCAAGTTGTACCATAAAGACAAAAACCTATAGCACCAATGCTATATAACATAGTAATATTCCTCTTTATCAACAACCTAATTTTAAGGGGTTAATTATATGGTTGGTCACTGAGATTACATAAAACGTTAATGTTTGGTCACTAAAAATATTTAATTTCATTTGTGGTCACTAGGTTTAGTAAAACCATCCAAATTTGGTCACTCTCCGTTAGTCTCCGTCTGCCTCCATTAACTAAGTCCGTTATTTGCTGACGTGGTTAACAAAATTGTCTAATCAGCTAAATTTAAGCAAAAAAATAAAAATAAAACCTAACTCGCCACGTCATTAAAACCCGCCACATCATTAAAACCCACCCAACTCTTTTCTCTTATTCTCTATTTGACCCAACTGACCCGAACCTTCTTCCTTCCTCCTTACCCCGAAACTGTTCATCTTCCCCATCTTTCTTCGACTCCAAATTTGGCCACTTATCCACGCCATCGTCAATACATCCGCCTGTCCGTTTCATCATCCTCACCTGCTCACCCACCATCGTTTCTACGACCAAATTCCATCCTCCATGTCCAAACTTCGCTCCCTTCGCGTCCTCGACCTTGATGCCAAATTCATTCCCGACATCCATCCCACACCACGATAATTAAGGTTAGAAGAAGAAGAAGAAGAAGAAGAAGAAGAAGACAACGTCGAGCGGTTGAGGAGCAGGAAGAGGAGGCACAGGGTTAGGGAGACAAGGAAAGTGATTTAGAGGGACCCGAGCGCCGTCTCCAGCTCTCGTTCTTCCCAAACCCAATCCCAGCGACAATCCCGTCTTTTCTTCTTCGTCGGGGGGGGGGGGGGGGGGGGGGGGGGGTTGTTTATTCGACGACATACAGAGAGGTGAGAAAGAGGCATTCACCAGCCCGACATCATCGTTATTCCCAGTCACCCCAACTACGAGCTCCAGATCCATAGCATCATCGAGCACCAGCCTCAAATCTCTCTCCAGCCAGCAGATCTCTAGGGGCATGCAAGTTGTCCCCACCAATCAATGACTGGAGGCGGCGCTTGGGTTTTCATCCGGCGGCTCTCGTGTCCTGCAATACTGCCTATCGCAGAGCTGTCCGGAAAGAGACTCTCTCCTTCCCCTTTTTCCCCTCTCTCTGAAAGCGATATTTTAGAGAGAAGAATATTATTGGAAAACAGAACTTGATTTCTATTAACAAGAATCCCAATGGATATACAAGAGAAGAGAGGGTTTTTAGAAACAGAAAGTGATACACGTTCCATACAATCAGGAACAGGAAAGTAGTGGAAGAAGTTGGGAGAGAGACCCAACAGAAACAAAAGAATAAAAGAATAAAAAGTCTTTTATTTTTAGGTACTATCTCTAATACGCCCCCGCAAGACGGAGGAGGTATCAACGACGCTGATCTTGGACCGTAGAAGTAGAAAACGAGTGGAGGGTAGAGGCTTGGTGAGGGCATCCGCCAATTGTTGAGCAGTCGGAATGTAGGAGACACGTAGACGGCAGTCCTGAACGAGCTGGCGCACAAAATGATAGTCCAATGCAAGATGCTTCATATGAGTGTGGAACACTGGATTGGAGCTGAAGTAAGTGGCGCCAAGGTTGTCGGAATATAGTAGCGGTGTGGATGGGAGGGGATGTCGGAGCTCGTGGAGGAGATTCTGTACCCATTCAAGTTCGGCAGCATCATGAGCAATGGCACGATATTCAGCCTCTGTACTAGAACGAACCATAGTGCACTGTTTTTGAGAACGCCAAGAGATGAGAGTGGTACCAAAGTAGACAAGATAGCCAGAGGTGGAGGAGCGATCATCATGATTGTCGGCCCAATCGGAATCAGCAAAGGCAGACAAGGAAAGCGGACTAGTGACGCGATTAATGGAGAGACCATACGAGAGCGTGCCCCAAAGACATAGCGAAGCAGCCGCTTTACACATTGCCAGTGAGAAGCAGAAGGAGCATGCATGTATTGTGACAGCTTGTTGACAGAGTACGCAATATCAGGCCGAGTGTAGACAAGGTACTGAAGAGCACCGAGTACCTGGCGGAAGCGAGTAGCATCAGTGGCAGGGCTACCATCATGAAGAGAAAGAGTAGTGGAGGCAGTCATGGGTGTGTCAACTGCCTTAGCGTCAGTCATCATAAACCGATGGAGAAGATCAACCATGTATTGACGTTGGGACAAGAGATAGCCGGTGGATGTAGGTATAACCTCAATGCCCAAGAACCTTAATGCCCAAGAAATAGTTAACATCATCGAGTGCTTTGAGAGAAAACCGAGAGGAGAGGGCCTGCTGAAATGTCGAGAGCACGGCAGGATCATTGCCAGTGAGTAGTAAGTCATCGACATAGACCAAAAAGTAGAGAAGAGCCCGACCACTAGAGTACACAAAGAGAGAAGCATCAGAATGAGTCCTTTTGAACCCAAACTTGAGAAGAAAGGTGCTGAGGGATGTGTACCACGCCTGAGGAGCCTGGCAAAGACCATAAATAGCACGATGTAGCCGACAGACATGGTGCGGATGATCAGGATCAACAAACCCCGGTGGTTGACCCATATAGACCTCATCGTGCAAAGGGCCCTGAGAAAGGCATTATTAACATCATTCTGAGCAATGGGCCAGCCTTGAGAGAGAGCTAAAGTGAAGACAGTACGAACAGTGACCGGCTTGACAACCAGACTGAAAGTGTCAGTAAAATCGACACCCGGACGTTGATGAAACCCTTAGCCACGAGACGAGTCTTGAACCGTTCAATGGAACCATCCGAATTATGCTTGACCTGATAAACACAACAATTGCCCAGAACATTGTAGTGAGGAAGTCGAGGCACAATATCCCAAGTGGAGTTTGCTAATAAAACTGAATTTTCAGCAGTGAGGGCATCAGACCATTCTTTGTAACAAAGAGCCTCCTAGACCGAGCGTGGCTCAAGAGGAGGCAACCCAGGCTTGAAATGAGTATGAAACAACAGTTTCTTGGGCCTGAATAACCCATCCTGGGCTCGAGTCCGCATTTGATGTGTGCGAACAAGAGGAGGAGGGGGGCCAGGGGAATGCGAAGGCCAAGATGCAGGGGTGGCAGGGGCGGCCGGGAAGAAGACCGTGGCGGGGATAAAGGCCCAACCGTGGAAGGCCCAGAAGAAGTGGAAGGAGGCCGAGGAGCAGCTGCAGCAGAGGGGGAGTGGGCCTGGTGATGTGTATGCGGCGGTGAAGAGCGGACTGGAATGGTGGTAATGGCGGGCTCAATGTCCAACAGCAGGAGGCGGTGGAAGGAGGCTAGACAGGCCCAGTAGTACCATAACCTGGAAAATCAGACTCCACAAAAACAACATGGCGTGAGAGGAATAGGCGGTTACTGTGAGGGTCGACACAGCGATAAGCATTGCGCTGAGGGAAGTACCCAAGAAAAAGACAAGGGCGAGAGCGAGGGTCAAGTTTGTGGGCCGAATATGGCCGAAGCCTAGGATAGCAAAGACAACCAAAAACACGCAATTTATGATAATTAGGAGAGAGATTAAAAAGTAGTGTGTATCGAATTTACCACGTAAGGCGGAGGATGGAAGACGATTGATGAGATAAATGGCAGTGGAAAAGGCAAAAGACCAAAAAATAGTGGGAAGTTTAGCATGATGAAGAAGAGTGATACCAGTCTCAACCAGATGACGATGTTTTCGATCATCAAGGTCGTTATGCTCAGGTGTGTGAGGTGGTGTAAGGAGATGGGTAATGCCATGGTCAAGTAGAGTAGAGCGCAATTTTTGAAATTCGCCTCCACCATCCGTGTAAAGACGACGAATAGTGGTGGAAAAGAAATTCTCAACCATTTTACGAAAATCAAGAAAAACCTGAAGAACATCAGATTTATTGCGCAAAGGATAATACCATGTATAACGAGTGAAATAATCAATGATAACCAAATAGTAACGAAAACCATCAATCGAGGAAATAGGAGCAGGACCCTAAACGTCAGTATACAATAGATCAAAAGGTCGAGTACTGGATAAAGTAGAGACAGAAAATGGGAGTTTATGGCTTTTATTGGAAAGACAGGCATCACAAGAGGAACTAGTGTGAGAGGACGAAACGGGAAGGGAAAAAGACCGAATAATGCTGGAAAGAGACTGTTGTGATGGATGACCAAGATGAGCATGCCAAGATGTTGCAGATGTCCGAGTAGTAACCAGGGCCATTCGAACATTCTTCACTTCACTTGGCAATTCATACACATCACCGTTGTTTCCCCCCTTCAGCAGCTGCGCCCCCGTGCAAAGATCCTTCACAACAAAATGAGTGGCAAAAAATTCCACAGTGACAGGATTAGTTTGACATAACTTCGCAACCGAGATCAAATGCGTCTTGATGGCAGGGACACACAATACGTCATGTAAATGAAAATTATGGGGACCAAGAGAAATCGTGGAAGAACCAATGTGGAAGATTGCCAAACCTGAGTCGTCACCGACTAGTATCTCGTCTGGGCCTGTATAATAAGAATAAAGAGATAATTAACCCAAATCGGAGGTGACATGATGAGATTCAGTAGTGTCCATGAGCCATGACCCAGAGGAGGAAGGACCCGAATGAGCTGTTGTGTGATTAGCCTCGGCCTGGCGGGCCTGAGTAAATGCCTGACGGGCTTGAGGAAATAGCTTGAAGCACTGACGCACAGAATGGCCCGGGCGTTCACAATATTGACAGACTACTTGGGCCCTGCGTGGACGATTGGGCTCGCTGGAAATAAGTGGGCCAGGAGCTGGTTGGCGGGCTGGTGGATAAAATGGAAGATGATGGGCGCTGTCTTAAGAATGGGCCTGCTGGCCCATCAGCTGCTGTTGTGTCCATCAGCCATGACCCAGAGGAGGAAGGACCCGAATGAGCTGTTGTGTGATTAGCCTCGGCCTGGCGGGCCAGAGTAAATGCCTGACGGGCTTGAGGAAATAGCTTGAAGCACTGACGCACAGAATGGCCCGGGCGTTCACAATATTGACAGACTACTTGGGCCCTGCATGGACGATTGGGCTCGCTGGAAATAAGTGGGCCAGGAGTTGGTTGGCGGGCTGGTGGATAAAATGGAAGATGATGGGCGCTGTCATAAGAATGGGCCTGCTGGCCCATCGGCTGCTGTGGGCGAGCAATACTGTCGAGAGATGATTGTGGCCCGCCGCTGGAAGAGGGGCTGCCAACAGGAGAAAAGCCACCACCTCCATGAGAAAAGCCACCGTTTCCACCACGACGAGAATGCCCAGAGTAGAACACAGTTGGAACAGAGGAATGACGAGTTTGAGCCTTGAGATCAGCCTCAAATTCCACAAGAGAATCAACTAAATCTTCAATTGTAATGACAGTACTCCTGGCGCAGACAGCAGCTGTGAATTGTTTATAATCCTCACCAAGGCCCCGAAGATAGTGAACTACTAAATCCATATCAGAAACTGGGTCATTGACAAGTGCCAGCTCCGCGGCAACAAGCTTGAGATCATTTACATATGTAAGCACATCATTATTTCCCTTTGTCATGCTAGCTAATTTGCCTTTCAGATTGATTATACCAGACTGAGAGCGTCCACCATACAGTTTTTCCAGAATCAACCACGCTTCACGAGAGGTAGCCGCACCAGAAACAAAAGAATACAAAGATTCAAAAATAGAACAACGAAGGGCGTGGAGGATAAGCTTATCTTGACGAAACCAACAATGATGAGCCGGATTAGGACCAGTTGCATCATTCTCCGTGATCGTTAATAGAGGAACAATGCCCGTTCCATCAATGTAGCTAATAAGATCGAGTCCCATGAGCAGCGTCTCTAGTTGAGAACGTCAGGAATTAAAATTCGTCGGCGTCAGCCTCAGGGGCAGTTGAGCAGCGGGATTGAATGTGATTATGGGGTCTTCACTTGCAGCCGGCGGCGTTGCAGATGAGACAACGGAACCAGACATATTGTTGACGAGGAAGATGAGCTCAAAAACAGAGAATTATGACTGGATCAAGCTATATTTTAGAGAGAAGAATATTATTGGAAAACAGAACTTGATTTTTATTTACAAGAATTGATATACAAGAGAAGAGAGGTTTTTAGGAACAGAAAGTGATACACGTTCCATACAATTAGGAACAGGAAAGTAGTGGAAGAAGTTGGGAGAGAGACCCAACAGAAACAAAAGAATAAAAGAACAAAAAGTCTTTTATTTTTAGGTACTATCTCTAATACTCTCTATCCCTTCTCCTTTCGTTCACTTTCTTCTCCCTCCCTCCCATCTCCTTTCGTTCAATATTGCTGAGTTGCTTATTGCAGCCCTGACCATTTTGTCTCTATGATTAGCCCACTTCCAAGGCCTCCTACTGCTGCCGCGAAGACCGAAACTCTGATTATAAGGTGGTTGGTAGATCTGCAGAAGGCGGGCGAGTCAAATTAAAGTAGGTTTGGATCATGAGTTGGGTTAATTGACGTGGCAGGTCGAGTTTAAATTTAGCTGACTAGACGATTCTGTTAGCCGCGTCGGCTAATAACAGACAGACTTAGTTAACGGAGGCAGACGGAGATTAACGGAGAGTGATCAAATTTATACTGTTTTACTAAACCTAATAATCACGAATAGAATTAAATATTTTTATTCAATACAACATTTTTTGTAATCTCAGTGACCAATCATGCCATTAACCCATTTTAAGTGACCATTTTAGTAAAGAGCAAGTAAATTACCCAAGGATATCCATCCTGAGGAAGAAAGCCGTGCCCAGGACTGACCGCTGAAGCGGTCAAGCGGCCAAGCGAATACATCACCTAACATTCCTTCGACTCAAAGCTTCAGAAAGCGTCGATTAGACCACCGGTGAAACCGCACCGTCGCTGTCTCTCCCCCCTGCGAACTTGAGTCTACCCAATCGTCCGCATCGCTCCCTCTGCGCCTCTACTGACCGACTGCCTTTAAAAATGGCCGGCGACGGCATCGTGGATTCCTCTCCGGCGGCTCCGTCGTGGTTCACTCCCAAAAGGCTAGCTCTCTGCTTTCCTTCCATCTTTTGCTTCGATTTATGTTAGATTACAGTAATGATGCTGAACTGGTGGAGACTGGACACTAAAACTACTTTCTCTTCATTTTGTAGGTTGCTCATAATTTTCTGCGCGGTTAATATGCTGAATTACTTGGACCGGGGTGTGATTGCGAGCAACGGGGTGAACGGAAGTCTAGAGACTTGTGATGACAAAGGGATCTGCAGTTCGGGCACCGGAATTCAGTAAGACTCAAGCCTCTTGAAAATCCCAATTCGGGTTCTCGTTTCGTTGGATTGGCTGATCGAGACCTTGGGGCAGAATATGTGTAAGGGTCAATTTTGCTAGCTCCTTTACAGCCTTCCTTGAATTGTGGGTTGCAGGGGTGATTTTAAGCTGAACAATTTCGAGGATGGCGTTCTTTCGTCGGCATTCATGGTGGGGCTTCTAGTGGCATCTCCTATTTTTGCTTCCTTAGCTAAGAGGTGAAAAACTGATAAACCATTTGATGTCGAAGTATTTGCATACTGCCTCCAAAGCCAAGCCCCCTGTATGCGAAAGCTGTAGAGGCATGCTACTTGGGTTAAATCATTCATGTCTCTCATCTTTTCTTTTTCACCCTTGCAGTGTTAATCCTTTTAGGCTTATCGGGGTTGGATTATCTGTTTGGACATTTTCAACTGCCGGGTGTGGGTTCTCGTTTAATTTTTGGTCTATTGCAGTATGCCGTATGTAAGTCTGTCCTGATCTTGATGATTTGTGATCGTTTGGTATGATCATCGCTTTTCCCATTTGGTATTGAATAGTTCTAGGCTGAATTTTATTCCTTTAGGCTGGTTGGTGTTGGCGAGGCTTCATTTATAAGCCTGGCAGCTCCGTTCATAGATGACAATGCCCCAGCTACTGAGGTATATCTCATTCCATCCTTGCTACTCATTCTTCTAAGGAATCTATTAAAGTTGATTTCTTTCGATCCATTTCCTTAAATGTGCTCTGATTGATTAGCTCTTTGAGATGTTTACAGAAAACGGCTTGGCTTGCAATGTTTTACATGTGCATACCAACTGGAGTTGCTTTAGGTTACGTCTATGGTGGAGTTGTAAGTTACATCTCAGACTATCTGTTCAGTGTTGTTTCGTTAGCTTCTTCAATCCAGTTGTCATAGTTCTGGTTTTATCTTCTTAATCAATGTCAGGCCAATCAATCGAGTATTGATTAATACATAATTGATTGAACACTACTTGAAAAAGAAAATGGCTCTTTTGCCCATTAGACCATTTGTATTTATATGCATTAGGATCCCAATTCATGATCTCTCGGTTTGAGAAAAAAAAAAAAAAAAAAAAAAGAAGATCGAACCAGTTCTGCTGACTCTGTTTCAAATTTAATAAATGTCCGTTGATCGTATATTTCATTATAGTTCTATGATTCAGAGTATCATTTTCTATTTGATCCCTTTCGATTCCATTGATACAAGATTTCTCTGTTATCTTTCGCTTTTTTTTTTAATTTCACTTTGGAATAAGATACTGGATACATTTCGAATTGAGTTTTCTCAAGTTCATCAGTTGAGATCCTTTGAGGCGGTTTAATGTTCTATTCAAAGAAGCAATTGAAGTAATCTTCAATATTTTCTCAAATGTTCAGGTCGGAACGTATTTAAACTGGCGCTATGCGTTCTGGATTGAGGCACTTTTGATGCTTCCATTTGCTGTTTTTGGATTTCTCGTGAAGCCTTTGCAATTGAAAGGTGCCTTTAAATTTGTTCTGTGTCTTATCTATTGTGAACGCTATAATATTGTATATAATCTGACTTTATAAACGGATTTTTTTATCCTAGGTTTTGCTCCTGCTGAGTGCAAAGTTCCACTGGCTGAAAGAGCTTCTGCTACCGAGGGTATTGTGTTTTTCCATACTGTTCCTTGTTTCTGAACCAAATATAGCGTCTTGTGCATTTTTCTTTCCACTAGGTGGACTAATGACCGTCACAGTAGGCTAGCAAAGCGACTCCTGCATAAACCAGTTCAACTAAAAATCTTTTTATAGCTAACCATCATGTAAGATAGAGCGCAAGCTTACAAATGATTCCACTTCCTTAATATTGAAGGAACGACACTATCTTTCATAATTCTAGTTTAACTCTTTCAACTGTTATTTATTATCAAACGCCACTTTTTAAATTTGTATAGACATTCTTTTCCCCATTTTGTGTGGTAGAAAAGAAATGAAGATGACCTCATACTTGATTGAATTAGAGTGATATCATGTTGATGAATATGTTGATGTATTACAAACTTAGTTGTAACTTTCCTTGTGGCATATTTAGTAGCACTGTAGCAAACTTTTTGGAGCACCTTGCTTCCAAAGTGATTTCCCAATCCCGGTCTTCAGACAGAGTTGCTGTTTTTATGGATGTGCATGTGGAGGCTTTTTCTTGAAATTGGAAATACATGCTTAAGTAATTGATAGTAAATAGTTTATATGACTTCAATATTGTACCTGTTTCACATCCAAAATTGCAAGTTATCTTCTTTCAGTTTACCAACTAAACTTCTCTTTTAGATGAGCCCTCAGGCACGGCTGGCATAGTTGCTGAAGGCTCCAAGTAAGTTGATTTTCTGGTCCTGTTTTCAGTATTTGATCTACCGATTTCAATTTATCCCCCCTGTTTTAATGGATGCCAGATAAGCTGCTCCATTATTCTCCAAATTCAGGCCCTGAGGACCCTTAGCTCATTAACTCATTCATTAGCATCCTCTTTATCTCAAGTGATGGGTTAGGACCATCCTATCGGGACATGTTACTAGTTAGGTCCCTAGTTTCTTAAAAAAAAGGTTTGCCTATTTTCCTGTAATTTAAGACGAGATAAAACCTAAGGATCTTGAAATCCGAACTTTTTTTTTACTCAGTACCTTTTTCTCCATTCTTTTTCCTTTACCAGAAATACGTCACAGGCAAAGTCAGTAAGTTATAGCTGTTTGTTGACTTTCTTCAGTCATCCTCAAAAGAGAAATCTGTTTCTGAAGTCTAGGAATAAAACAATATAGCTGTATTGTAACTACTCATAGACTGCATCACCTAAGCAGAGGACAAAGTAACTACCATATTTGTGTATTTAATTAAGCCCAGGTACCTGGTAGGCTCTATATTCTACAGGACAAATGGAAAACTTTCATCAGTCTGTGAGCCATAACTGTCTGAAACAAACTTTTCTCACTCAGATCAAGTATAAGAATGGTGGACTTTGAAACAGTTAAAACTATTCTGGTTCCCGCCTTGGCAATTAGCATAGCATTCTTTCAACAGAAGCTTTTAAGTTCAGTTGAACTGTGAAACCCCAAGATGCACTTCCCACAACCCAGATACCCTTAGTGATTGAGGATCAACAGGTTTATGGGATCAGATTCCGAATTAGGGGTTTCAGCTGGTTTTGACACAATGCTATTATTGCTATGGTGACTTAAAAGGTTGTTATCATCAGTGAGGATGTGGCTGTGTAGCTCTGTTGAAGTTAGATTTTGCACCTGATATTGAACAAACTGTTCGAAGAGATGCTAATACTATGGATAACAAGTCGAGATTCATGTCAGTTGTTTGGGGTCGGTTAGTGCAGGTTCTGAGACCTTTTCTATTATCAATCTATCCTGATACTGAAAAGCTTCTATTGCTCTTGAACAGCAGTATGCTGTGAAATCAAGCGATCACATGATTCAACTACGTACCAAACTGTTCTACAGCACTGACATTACAGGAAAAAATTGTTGCTTTTTGTATTGCAGGGAAAAGTCTACACCCATGATAATGATCCAATTGTCGCTTGTTTTGAAGGACTTGAAAGTGCTTTTACTGGATAAGGTTTATGTCGTAAATGTTTTAGGTAAACCTTCTCTTCTACTTTACTGATTCACTGCAAGCATTGACCAATCAGCGTTGAAATTGTGGGATCGTTTTCCATGTCCCATCTTTGTTTTCTCTTTTGTGGACCTCTGAATTGATTGATCAACAGTAGTATTCCATAGGTGTCTGATTGTCATTATGATTATAAATTGTTTATCAGGTTACATAGCATACAATGCAGTGATTGGAGCATACTCTTACTGGGGGCCAAAAGCTGGCTATAATATTTATAATATGGTAAGCAGTAATTTTACTTTTCCATTGAACGCATTTTTATAACTTGTACACTGTTTTGGTTTAATTGTTTGTTCAGAAATGCTGATGCTTTGTTTGATCAGGTATCACTTCCTAACATCGCATTTGTAGTGCTTTAACTAAGTTCCTGTTTTGATAGAGCAATGCTGACCTTGTGTTTGGAGGGATTACTGTTGTCTGTGGAATTTTCGGAACACTAGCTGGAGGTTTCATACTTGACCATATGACTGCTACAATCTCAAATGCTTTCAAGGTGAAGTGTTTCAGGAAATTTATTTGGATCTATTTTCGTAGCACAAACTCTTAAAACCTACTATTCTAATTGTTGGTGGTGCCAATATGGATCAATGGCTTGGAAACAATATGCTTTTGGCTCAGTTTTTCACTTATTCGTGCAGCTTCTTTCTGGGGCGACACTTTTAGGTGCAATCTTTTGCTTCTCCGCCTTCTGTTTTAGAAGCCTGTCCGGTTTCATACCTGTTTTTGTGGTGGGTGAGCTATTGATTTTTGCAACTCAGGTAATACTCATCTGAATAACACTGCTCTTGAACACTCCCCTTCCCTTCACTTTTTTGTTGTGGAAAAACTGTTGCTAGATTCTTATTGTATTCTGTGTGCTCATGCGGGATGCTGGGACCTTAACAATTCTGATGTATGACCATGAAGTTACAGCACCTAACCATGTCCTGACCTATTTTTCGTACTGACTTTCGTGCTGATCTTGGATTTCCAATCGTAGAAATTGTTTTTAACCAATAATTCTAAAATGAGGTGGTCTTCAGAGTCTCAATTTTTACTTTAATCTATTGGTGCCTATGTTCAATTGGTCTTTTGCATACACAGGTTTTCTGTATAACCGTTTCAGAAAATTTCAGCAATATTGTCTAGTTTCCGTATGTGCTGATACTTTCTCTATGCATTTGGAACCTGGAAGATTTTATAAGAACCCATGAATGATGGTAATTCTATGGTTGGCCATGTCAGCTTCGTAGCATGCCACTTTGTCATTGAGCGGCAAGACCCTTAAAAATATCATTCAGTTGTCTTCAGCTTTGAGATCAACTAAAATTCTTGCAACTTATATGCTAACATAGTTTGTGGCTTTTGGCTCTACAGGCTCCAGTAAATTATGTGTGCCTCCATTGTGTCAAACCTAGTATGAGACCAATATCGATGGCTGTATCTACTGTCTCCATCCATATCTTTGGCGATGTGCCTTCCTCACCACTTGTTGGCGTCCTCCAGGTTGGCTACCCTTTTAAAAAGAGCTTGCCTATATTGATATGTTGTTATGCGTGCAGATAACCCACTCCATATCTCCACCTATGTACTTAAATAGCTCGTAGAAGAATGTGTCTTTTCAGACAAGGCCTGCATTGATTTCAGTATTGCTGCTTATCTATCTGTCCTCGTTTGTTATTTCTAATCCATTTCAACTTCTAAGGCGATCATTTTACCTTCCCCAATGTGAATGCAGGACTCTATCAACAACTGGAGAGTAACCACACTCATTTTAACCTCCATTCTGTTTCTCTCATCTGCAATATGGTTCATCGGTAAGTGAAATTTATTATCTTTATTTCCCTCTCAGCAAATCATTTTTCTTCCACAAGGAATCGTGATGTTAGCCTATATTTGTTTCTGCTTCTGTTTTGTGGACCTGCCAATTTTTGTCTCTTATTTGTCCGCCAATTGTTTTATTGCACAACTATTTTTCGACAAGTCTGCTCAACTCCCCTTTAGTTTGTCTCTTGTTTTGAGCATCGACTTACTAGTCCAATAATGCTTCTGGATGGGCCATTTCCCCTGATGAGTACCATACTGTATGACCTGTGCATTAACCAGGTGTGTTTCTGAAAAGCAATGACAAGTTCAACGAAGATGGTGAAGAAAACGAAGTGTCTACAGGTCCCAAGGCTGCGTCGTTGGAGCCGTTGCTCGAAGAAACAAGGAACGACATCCCAAATAACTTCTGATGCATGTATATATAAATCTAGCTATGTATAATGCACATCTTATTTTCCAGATTACACACTCAGCTTAGGCAACAAACATACGGCGACTTCTTGGATGCTGTGTACTCTGAAGTTCTTCTATTTGTATATAGTCCGCACGCCTTCAATTTCCATACTCTTTCCTTGATTCAAATACTGTCACATGTGCTGGCAGTCACCTTCTCTTCCATTACAATCACACAACCATGGAGAAGCTTCAGTTCATTTGTCTCTTGCAGCTAAGGGTGGAAATTGGTACGGTATGTCGGTATCCCAATACCAAATTCCGAATACCGAATTACAGCCTAAAATCAATCTGGTTTGCTTGGTCACATGTCCCCGTCTCTTTCGAGATAGATAGAGAGGATGGGAGGTTTTGAGCTCCATCAAGTACATGGCATTCACTGTGATCACTCAGTTTTGCTTTGCTGCTGCTGGTAATTGGCTAACAGTGTTTCCTTCACTCGTGGGGAGTCTTCTTTTTGCTTCCTTTCTTTTGGATTCCCTCTTGTTTCTGGCAAATTGCACAGTTGACAGCTTGATGAGAAATGCCGTGGTTGCTGCTTCCAATCACTTTCCTATCATGAGCTCAACTTCCCATTTCGTGGTCCTAATATCAAATATCCTTCTCTGCTGATAATTTTATTTTAGGTAATATATAAAAGTATAATTTTGTCCCCTCTGAACCTAGTCGTGTTGTGCGCTACTTTATTTTGGGGACTCAAAATAAGAAATTATTGTGCGCAAATATTGTATTTTCTGTTTGTGTATATATTGTGCGGAATATCTGTTTTATAATTAGTCTCTGAACCTTGCGGATCCTGCTTATGGATACGTATGTCCATCTCTTGATGTGTTGTGAACTTTTTTTTAATTAAAAATGCAATAACTCTTGACCTTGCGCTATATATTATATTTTATATGCTACAATACCTTGAAAAATAAAATATGCTCAACTCAATTGAGTATTGGTATTTTCCACGCTTAACCTTACGCTTAGGCACGCCTAGACACAAGGCAATGTCAAAACGCTTCGCTTAGGGATTTCGCGCCTAAATAGATACCGAAACACGTCAATGGAGTAAGGATACATATAAGTCTCTCGTAAACATTACTAGATGGGGCTAGAAAGTAAATAATAAAGGAGATAATCAACATCAACTACGAAATCAATTTTCTATATCAATATTTTCAATAGCTCAAGAACTTTGTGAACTATTGAGTTATGATTCTTTGAATTCGTGAGATATGTTCTTGTCATTAAGTGTTGAGTAAGTTATTGATAATTTTAATTGATGTAAGAAAATGTTGTAGATTAGTTTACAACATTTTTTTGCCATTGTGGTAAAGGTTTGTTTTTGTTTTTGTTTTGTGGTAAGGTGGTAAAGGTTAGTTTATGCAAAGTGCTAAGCTGACAAAGTGATAATCGTTCTGTAACACAATTTACTCCGCTTTATAAGGTTATGGTATAGTATTGGTATCGGTTTCATACCGACTACTTTCTACAGTGACTCTGAAAAATGAAGTAATTATTACCAAATTAATGATAAACCGACAAGAACCAGTCTGATATTCGGTTGAACCAAAACTACGGGATGCGCCAGTCAGATACTTGGTTAACCGAGTTCACATCTCCCATATTCACTTAAGTTTGCGGTTTATTTGTTATAATTATAACTAGCTTATAACTCGATCCGTTAGCCGGAATGTTGATATTTAATTTTTTTTAATATTTTTTTTATGTTACGTTAAAGTCTATCAACCTGTTTAATTTTATTGACAATGTTTCGATCGAGATGATACATAAAGAAAAAATATATAGGTCGAACATTCAGAGAAATATCATCATCATTTGAAAATATAAAATATAAAAATGTATCATTGATCCCATTTTCATAATGATAATTAAGCCCAGTTAAAATGTTATTAGTTAGTTGATTATTAAGAAAGATAGAGTATAAAAATTCACTGAAATTCCCACACGACCCATAGATAGTTTGAAACTGGATCTAAAACCTTACAATCCTACATAAATGGTTTAATGCACTCATTTTGAGGGCAATTTGCCACTAATCGAAAAGAAATTGAGAGTTGTAGGTTCAAGTCAACTATATACTAACAACTCAGCTAAAGAGGGGATCATCAAAACTTGAGAGCAAACAACAAATTTGGGTTATCTCCAATATATTAATAGACTCGATCAAAGTAATAAGACGCAAAATTAGACACTTCTTATCTATCAGTTCAAGTAGGTTGAATAAAAAATCAACTTACTTCATTAAATCAATAAATGATTCCTCGTTTTAAGATAGAAATATGTTGTGATAGCTGCAAAAACCATAAACCTAAATATCCAATAGCCACCACTCTCCATTGAACGACCAAATTTTTTCTACGCTATCTTTAATCTCAAGAAGCATATGTTTCAACCAAACATTCACTTTCTAATCCTTCTTCTGCAACTTCATTTCTGCTACTTTGATGGACCTTCTCTCTACGACCCTCAATTTCTCTTCCAATTGGGTTTCTTGTCAACTCGCTCTTCAACTCCTCAATCCTCTTCCTGTGTTTTGCCAACTTATCTTTCTCAGGGTCAGTTGTAATAAGTTCGCTAAAACCAAAACTCATCTCCAATTCCATTAATATACTCATCTCCCCCCTTGTCTGCCTTCACCTACTTCAGTACACTTCCATGGCCTTCAATACCCTCTCCATTTTCATTAATATCCTCGTCATATCTCACTTCTCTCTCTTCAACTGCTCCAGTTTCGCTTCTGCATCTTTCAATACCCTCCTCAATTCGATCACTACCCTCAGCAACTCCCTCTTCTCTACCTTAACCTGCTAGAGTTGATTTTTTCTTCCCCCACCACTTCCATTCTCAAACTCAATCCCAACTCTTCTACTCCAAGTTCAACACCCCAAACTCATAGAGAGCTCAATTTCTAACTAATTCTAATACAATATCAAAATTTGATTAGTGAGTTGGACTATAAGAATAAAAATTAATGAGGAAAATTATGGTTGCGGAGAACATTAGTTATGACAAAATCAAACATGAGCAGAAATATTGTAATTGAAAAGAAACCTTTTTTCTAATTTTGATTTTATTTTATTATTTCAATAGCTAAGCAAAGAACAAAAATAAAGTATAGGAAACAAACAACAAAAAAAGTAGGCAGGGCGCTAGGAAAGTACAACTGCCCCTCTTCTACACAAACATCTCCTTTGCTTTCAAACAAATATAGTACCCAACCATCATTCAAATTTTCATTTTATATTTTATAAATCATTCATAAACAACAAACTTAGATGAATCGGGAAGGAAATAATAGCCTACTAGTCCAAGTCGATGAACCTTATACGAAGATAGAAACTCATTGAAGTTGAAACCTAATAACAGAAAGAGGAGAAATGACGCGGGAGATCCACTGAGCTTTAAACATCATATCAGGCAATAAGATAAAAAAAATAGATATTCTGCATGTTCTGCTCATGAGACAACGTGAAAATAAAAGTCATTTTGTTATTAATCAGAAAGATAAAACCATGAGACATAGAGAAGAAATGAATGACTTACATGTGCAAAGCGATTAACCTTGCCCGAAGACCGAAAACCTATTAAAGGTCAATGCCTGGTATAGGAAGAGGAGTAAAGGCGAAAGATATAACTGATCAAACATTGTCTTCAGCAATAGAAGCAGCAAAATAGTTCTTCTGGTAGTACATCGGGGAGAGACAAAACCATTGGGTGATGCCAGTGCAGAGGAATCGAGCGAGATAATCAAGGCCATACCAATACTACTTGATTAAACTCCATTCTATTCGCCATGGATTGATAATGTTGAAATCTTCTACTTGCCCAGCTTAAATCCCCAATAGTAAAATTGGAGTGCTAAGAGATACCGGAATATTGATTTTCAAATGCACCCTTATACTGGGAAGTGAAAGCACGCAAATTATTGCACGATGGAGGGAATTTCGAAGAAAATTAGAAAGAGATAAGAACAAAGATAAAAAAGCACAAATTTAAAATTTATATTGAAAAATGCAAGGACACAACGCGCAGTAAAGGAAATAGTTTCTTCCATGTTATCCAATTGCCAATTTACCTTTAGCGAAAGTTAAGTAGAGAGCATGAATTTTAAAATTGATAGTATTACATGAAACTCTATGATGAAAATTAAAGTATTAAGCACCATGAAAATGCATACGGAAGACTTAGTGCGATTGTTAATCAAGATGGAAAAGTCCTCTGCTTTTCACAGTTTGAATACATGTATTTTTTGCATTAAAAAATGAAATAACAAATATATTTAGTATAATTGGTTATGACTGTTATCTTTGTTTGAAGAGACCCGGGTTCAAGTCTTGATGTTAATAATTTTTTATGAAATAAATAATTAATTGTAAAGACAAAAGTGTCCTTCCTACTTTCACTCTCGTTGTAGTAAATTTGAAATAAAGGAAAGTTCACAAAACTTCGCTATATATTATTGGAGGATATAATAACGGAAGACATAGGTACAAAACCCATTAAGCCTCATCATATAGCCTTCATTTAATTCACCATCTAATGACTCTGATTAATGCGCAACAAAAATAACAAAAAAAAAAACTGAATGACTAAATCTCGTCCTAGTTTTACTTTTATCTCCCTAATCTAATACCTACAATTACTAAATTATCCTTTATTAATTCATAATCTATACCTTTTTTTGGCTCCTGCTCTGACATGGATGCAGGGGAGAGATAAGACACTTTTTATGATCTCCAATTTTATTAATCGAATTCTATAACATTTATTTTAACTCGGAATCTAAAAAAAATTGCATAGAAAGAACGCATTAATTATGACCTACACAATGATATCCATTTTGCTAAATTTTGAGCAAAGAAAAATCAACTCTTCAAAACACGTGTCGGTTGTAGTATTATCATTGTCATATTGTTGGTATAATGACCCATCTTGTTCATTTTAACTCAAAATTAAAAAAGTCGTATAGAAAGAATGCTTTAATTAAGATCTACACAATGATATATATTTTGTTATGTTTTATCAAATATAAGACCTCATACCAACATCATATCAGTGTCACACCAACATCATATCTAGCTGAGGACATGTGCCCTACGCATTCTGCTTAGGTAGTTGCGGGGAAACCAACTATCAGGCTTATTAGAAGATGAGATGTGATACAAGATAGACTCAGATCGATGTAGGAGGCTGGCCCTTTGTCTTAAGTACCACCTACATCGAGGCTGGATGGTGGAGTAGCAGAGGATATTGCATATCTTTGATTAGCTATGCAGAGGAAAGAGGAAACCATGAATCTACACTACTCGACTAATGATCTTATATGGAATGCCTATGAGCATGATCGTAGAGATGAGCTAGAGGAAACTCAAGCTTAGCGTGCTGAGATGGATGCCATGCATCAGAGACTGTACAAGCAACAAAGGAGAGATCATGAGATGCTATCGAGGTAGAATGCATGGATGAGAGAGTATGTATGAAGTTTGAGTACTACTTCGACAATAAGAGGAGTGAGGGATCTTAGGATCATAATTTCCAGTTTGATGGGTAGTATCTATGTCTTTCTTATTGTTTTTGGATAATTTTAGGAGATGAAACATTAGCTCTCTCTCCATTTTATGCTTTCACATTACCTTTCCTTTGTTTTAATCCACGTCGGGTCTAGCCGTCAAGTGGTTGCCACTACCCTAGAGTTTCTGGAATATTTAGAGAGCTTCTTTCTTTGTTCCCACGTCAAGGAATCTGTGTTCAAGTCAAAAAGGACGGTTTTTGGCCGAAATTACAGTGGAAAACTCGAATACCATACCACATTAATCGTACACAAGCCTTCACCTCCCTATTAGTACTATAAATAGAAGTTTAGACTAGAACTTTTCACACAAATAGACGACTCCTAGAATCGAGGCTTGAATCCTCGATTAGAAAAGATTAACAAAACATCTTATGAAGTTCTGGCATTTCGTTGCAAGAAAGGTTTTCCATAGTTCAATTATGTTAGCATCTATTGGATAGACGAAGTTCGGCCAAAGTTCAGGGGAGATGCATGCCTTCATCATCGATTGTGATATAACTCTCTCTTATGGCTATGAAGTCCTTGTTGTTTAGAATGTGAATTCTATGATGCTTTATGTATTACTTTGAATGATTTAATGATATGCCGATGATATTTCATATTTTATCATCTATTATGTAGGTTATTTTAGTTGTGTGTATAATATCATAATAGGTTGCTAGGAAAATACTTTTATATGGTATGCCATTGACTTATGCATGTATGAATGCAACTCTTTGTATGTGCATATGCTTGATAGAACACATGAACGCATTATCATTTCTTTTGCATGTGTCCAAAGCTCGATTAGAAATACTTTCGTGGAAGAGATGGGGGATTATAGTAGGTGGAACACATGAACGCATTATCATTAATTAGTTAGTATGAAAGATCATCTAGATGAAGTTACCTAAACAATAGTTTCTTATACTAGTTTTATCCTTGTTTTACCTTTGCTTTCATCATTCAATTACTTGCCTTAGTTATAGACTCATAGTAGAAAATGGGCTATCAACTGGGAACCTCAACCCATCGTGTTTACTTTCTATTGCATCGTTGTTAGAACATAAATGATTAGTTACAAACTAGTTTCTAATAAAAAAAACTTGTGGAATACGACCCCATAAAATATCTAGGTTTATTACTTGTGATATACTATAATTACATCAGCATCTCCTCACGTTTATGGGCTAATATGGAACTCTCTAGAATCGATGCTTAAGCCTCCAAATCAGGCTCTGGGCAATGATGTTGGGTAATTTCCACACCAAATTATGGGCTTCGCTCCAATCTCCATTTTTGACTTCCAACAGCCGGGCAATGATGTCTCCAACTCTTACAAGGTGGTACACTCTTTAGCCTAAACACACATGAAACACTACTAAAAG